GTGAATACCCCCAACTAACCCTAAACTAACTATAAACAACTACTATACAATAACTAACTACAGACAAACTATATCCAAATTACAAAGATAAAGGCGCTTGCTAAAGCAAGGGCTATGGGACGTTCCAGCTAACCATCACTGGCGGTAAGAAGGTACTGAGGGGGTAGTGGGTCAGCAGGGCTCTATATTGAGCACCATTGAGGCACGACTCTAGGGGGCGCCCCCGACTGACCCAATGGATGCTGCTATGGGAAAAATCTTCTGGCTACCATGCACATGCGTTTGCACACTCCTGATTGGAATTGACATGAACAAGCACTCGAAGAACTGTACCTTCCCCTGCGATAATGACTGAAGACCATGCTGAATATTATTTGTTTGGATTTACTCTGACTGAGTTGGCTTAAGGGGAAAGGGATTGATTTATACTCTAATTTGCAGAAGGATTTTAGTCTTTGTTTTATATTTGACTGAAACTTACTAATGGGCAAGAAAGGATATCTCCTTTAGGAAGAGGGCTTTTGGATTATAGGACTCTTATATGAATCTTCCAAAAGCTTAGAAACTGGAAAGGAAGGCATCTTATTCACAACATTTAATGTATAATGCTCAGTGAGTTACAAGGGAAGAAATAAGAAGTTGGCAACCATAAAAAGCGAGTCCTAAATAGCATAATTAAACCTGTTACAGGAAAGCCGTGAGTTTCTGTCAGACTCTATTGACAAAATAACACATTTCTAGCTCCTGTTAAATCTCAGATAACCAGTAGATGGCAGATCTGTACAAGTGGCAATGGGGAACTGAATAGTACATATCAAATATTTTTCTGGTGACTTCATTCATCTTTCTCAGCACATCCCCCCAGGGTTTGTTGGGTTCAGGGCAGCAGCTATGGCACAACACGCACATGCAGCAGTTCAGCGCTTGTGCATTAGTATACAGAGTCTGGGAAAGCAGGTTGTTCAGAGGGGTCACAGCACCTGGCTTTGCCCAGCCTGAGGGGCTCTTCCTGGGCTCACATCACTCTGCTCTCCTGCATGGTTTGATGCACGTGGGGACATGGGGGGAAGATGACCTTGCCCGACCTAAATAGCGCCTGAAATAAATCCCTTGAGACTGTTGGAGTGCTGCAAGAGAAAATATAAGGGATCTTAAAAGCTTCCTTGGAGAATGGGAATAATCTTGTCTGGCCTGGAGGCTAAACAGAATTGATTTCTTCAGTCAAGAAGAACAGGAGACAGTGCAGGAGACTAAAAACCCCATCTCTCCCTGTTGCGGTGCATCCCTGCCCCATAGCACTCCCTCTCTCAGTTTCTCTATTCTCAAGGCCCCTCAAGAATCACACAGTAATACCACTTAGGGTCTCTTGCTTAATACCCCTCCTTGGAGCTGGTTTATTACCGAAACATTGTTCAAATAATCCCCAACGTGAGTCCCAATCATAGTCCATTTCCCACATCCAGCATAGAGAGTCCTTAAAATCCTGCTCTTCCCAGCGGGAACCTGTACAGTCTCTCTGCTCGAAGATCTTCCTCTTCCTCACTACGGGTGCAATCCTCACTCCCCCTGGACCTCTGGGTTCAGCTCTCCAGCATGGAGATGTCAACAGATAAGTCTGCCACTCCTCTGCCTTCAGCTCTCTGGCTCTCAGCTTTGGCTGTCCAGGTTAGAAGTCAGCAGGCACAACCCTCTGTTGCTCTCTAGCTTTCAGTAATTCCCCTGGAACCACATGCTGTACAGCCTCTTGGCTCGCGCAGCTCTCATCTGCAAACTTCTCATTCCCAGGCAGCTTTCACCTGCCCTTTTCTGACTGACCAGGCAGCTGTCATCTGCCTTTTTCCTGACTGATGCTCAGAGAGCCCCAACCCACCAGATCTGTGTGACCTGTAGTCTCTCTTCTTAGACTCAGGGTTCTGCACAGCCTTCTTCCGTGGGACCTGTGGTCGCCGAGAGCTCTACTTCCTTAGGAGAAGTTCTCTCTCTGTGAGCACCTCCCTCTAACTGAGCCCTGATGGCCTTTTAACAGGCACAGGTGCTCGTTATTCAATTAACTGCCTAGAAAGTCTTGTTCTCTTTAAATTAGCCTGGGCCTGGATTCCCCTTAAAGGGGCCAGCAACCCCATGACTCTCCCTTAGTGTTCTTATAGTGGCTGCACCTAAAACTTTCATGGGGGTGGAGGGGCAGAAGGAGAGGCCCCGAAATAGGACAGATTCTTCTGCTGTGCTAAGAGTATAGCTGGGTAGATTAATGATATTGCTGGGTGGGTTAAGGGAACCACTGTTATGGCCCTTTGTGGCATGTAGTAGTTTAGTTTAGTGTCCTTTTTCTTTTGTAGAGAAGCAAATTTACTGAAGCAAATACTCACCAACAACCACACAACAAAAACGCTAACCCAGGAACCTATCCTTGCAACAAAGCCTGTTGCCAGCTGTGTCCACATACCTATTCAGGGGACACCCTCATAGGGCCTAATCACATCAGCCACACTATCAGAGGCTCGTTCACCTGCACATCTACCAGTGTGATATATGCCATCATGTACCAGCAATGCCCCTCTGCCATGTACATTGGCCAAACTGGACAGTCTCTACGTAAAACAATAAATGGACACAAATCAGACATCAAGAATTATAACATTCAAAAACCAGTCGGAGAACACTTCAATCTCTTGGTCACTCGATTACAGACCTAAAAGTTGCAATTCTTAAACAAACTTCAAAACAGACTCCAACGAGAGACTGCTGAATTGGAATTAATTTGCAAACTGGACACCATTACATTAGGCTTGAATAAAGCCTGGGAGTGGATGTGTCATTACACAAAGTAAAACTATTTCCCCATGTTTATTCCCCCTCCCCCCACTGTTCCTCACACGTTCTTGTCAACTGCTGGAAATGGCTTACCTCGATTATCACTACAAAAGGGTTTTTTTTCCCTCTCCTGCTGGTAATAGCTCACCTTACCAGATCACTCCCGTTACAGCGTGTATGGTAACACCCATTGTTTCATGTTCTCTGTGTATATAAAATCTCCCCACTGTATTTTCCATGGCATGCATCTGATGAAGTGAGCTGTAGCTCACAAAAGCTTATGCTCAAATAAATTTGTTAGTCTCTACGGTGCCACAAGTACTGCTTTTCTATCCGCAAGTTGTGATACATCTGACAGGATACTGGCAACCTAGGGGTTTGGTGTACTGAGCAGCTCCAGTCATTACAAAACTAACATTATATGAACACTAAGTATAACTAAGATGGAGAGCTATGGGATAGCAGTCAAACACTGTGGAGATTCTGTCTTGCTGCCACTGGCATTAAGAAGTAACTGAGAGATGGTTGGGTTTGCTCTGCCATTTATGCCTAAAGGTGTGTGTGAGGGCATGCAGGGAACAAAATGCCCCCACCAAACACTGCTGGGCAAAAGAATCCAATCTTGCATGTGTACGCAGAGTCAAACGGTCACTTTGGCTGCTGTGGGATCCCCAGTCTCTTTGTTATTGGGGCAGGAGTAATAACGGATTGTTATTCTGGTTATGTGAATCAAGGACAGTAGAACTGTACTTGGCATTTTATGACTGAGGGACTCACCCTCAACTAAGCAGCACTTGCTAGGCAAGGGACATGGGTTCCAAAGCCCAGTGAATTGAGAGGGGTTGGGGACAGGTATTTGCACCTGGTAGTGTGGGGCCCTTCTGAGGGCCCTAAACACCACTTTGACCCTTCCTCTCTCCACTGTGTAATAACAGAGCTAATTTAGACTCAATTAGGAGTCTTGTTACATGCTGCACAGCTGAAATCACTGATACCTAGGTCTAAGCATTTGAGCTACTTTGGGCTAGTAGTTCTGATGCAAGAAGATATCCAGGTGCACCAGCAGTGAGGCTCCCTTATTAACAGCTGAAATCACTAAGAGCTGAAATCATTGAGAGCTGTAGGGGGGGCCTGAAGACATATTGGTGAGCGACTAGCGGAATGGCTAGCGGAGAGGCACAGCCAGCGGGGCGGCTGGCGGAAAGGCACGGCTGGCAGTAAAGACGGGAGCAGAACCCCACAGAGAGGCGTGGCAATCAGCTGTCGAGGGCCCGAGCAGTGGAGCATGTGAGGGGCTTCCATACCTCCCCAGCTTCTACCCAGACTGGGAGGTAAACTCTGCAGCTGAACTTCTGAACTCTGGGGCTGCACTGACCAACGACAGCAACTGCAAGTGGGGTGACTTTTGGGTTGCTGGACTCAAGAACCAAAGGGAAAAGACACAGCCCAATCTACTTACGGGTGGGTCTTCTGGTTCATGGTTTGTGTTAATGAACCCTAGTTGTGGTGTTTTCCCAATTTAATGCTGAGTTGCTTACCTTCTGTTATTAAAGATGTTTTGCTACACCGAGACTCTGTGCTTGCGAGAGGGGAAGTATTGCCTCTTTGAGGCACCCAGGGTGTGTGTGTGTGTAATTTTCCCAGGTTTTCCCGGCTTGAGCCGGTTTTGCACTATATTGTTGAAAGGGAACCCCTATGTACTGAACCCGGCCCTTGTTGCTGTAAACTCTGGCTGGCAGAAGGGTTACACATGCATGGGGCACATGTGCACCTACAGTGGAGTCTAACTACAGTGGACGAATACTTAAGTGTTGGACTGACATGAAATACTGACTTTGTTGTTGGCAAGATCAAATATTTGTACCTAAAATTGAACAGTGGGATGATTTACGATTATTAGGAAAGTCTGTACAGTATTGTCAGTGTTATAACTATAGCAATTACAGTGCATATAGCTACTATGTACTGTATATTTGATATAATTGAATACAAAATTTTAAGATCATTAGTAGGGACTTTGGGCCTGATTCTCCTTTCACTCACACCAGTTTTTACAGTACTGAAATTCCATAGACTTCAACCACGAGCTGAAACAAGTCCGTGCTACTTCTTCTGTCTCCTCAAAAGTTAAGTTTTAAGTCTCTGTACTCTTTTCCCACCATGAGTTGGGATATTCTTGAATGACTTACCCTTCCAAGGATCTGTCCAGAGTCCAATCAGGAGATCGATGGAGGGAACGTTCAGGTGATGATGTCCTTAAAGTAGAGCTTAATTGGTATGAAGTAGTAATACTCTGGCGACGAAGCTCTTGTACAGCACGTTCCCTAAATCAAAATGGTAATTGATATTAAAGGAGACATTACCAGCTAAGAAGCAAAGCCTCTCTACAAGACTCTACTTTAGATCCAAAGTAGTCTTATGTTATAGTATGGCGTGCAATAAAAAAAAGAGGGTGCATAAATGTTTTGTCAGCACAGTTCAATGGATAGCACTCAATCTCTAAACCAGAAAGTTGTAGTTAGAAATACAGTAGAACCCCATTTATTTGACCCTCCATTATCCAACTCTCCGTATTATCTGAACATCCAGCGCACACAGGTCCAGAAGCAGGTGATCTCTTCTGTGGCCACTAGACAGTGCTGTGGCCTCAGACTTTCCTATTCTCTGGATCAGAGGTTCTCAAACTGTGGTCCGCGGACCACTGGCTCCATTCAGGTGGTCCATGGATAGTTCCCTCTAAATTGCGCCCCTGGGCAGCCGCACACAAGAGAATGAAGGGCCAACCATCTAATTAGTGGAGCCGCGCAGGCGTGGCTCCACTAATTAGGTGCCTGGACCCTGGAGAAGACACACATGTAAGGTGAGGTGGTGGCAGCCTTGGGGGGGGGGGAATAGGGGGTAGGTGGGGCAAGAAGACGGGATGAGGGGAATTTGGGATGTGCAGGGCTGAGGCAGCCAGAGAAAGAGGTGATTTACCCCAGCTCCAGGGCTGTGGCTGCCGGGGAGAGATGGGCCTCCTTCCAAACCTCAGTTCTGTGGCTGCTGTGGTGGGGGAGAGACCCCCCTCCTTCCCAGCCCCAGCTCGGGAGGGAGGGCACATCCATTGCGTTAGAAAGGTAAGTAATGATATTAAAATATGAGTTGTGTGCTTTTATTTGTAGAACAAAAATGTTAATTATTATTGGTTTTTTTATATAGTGCTTTTATCCAAAGCACTTAACAATAGTTAGTTAATGGTACAAAGGACATTTAGAAAGATCATTAAGTAGTCCTCCGAGAACCTCAGCAATTTTCAAGTGGTCCATGGAAAAAAAAGTTTGAGAACCACTGCTCCGGATTATCTGAATTTTTGATTATCCGATCCGGTACCAGTCCCCCAATTAGATCAGAAAAACGGGGTTCTGCTGTATTCATAGACTCATAGAATATTAGGGTTGGAAGAAACCTCAGGAGGTCATCTAGTCCAATCCCCTGCTCAAAGCAGGGCCAACACCAACTAAATCATCCCAGCCGGGGCTCTGTCAAGCCGGGCCTTAAAAACCTCTAAGGATGGAGATTCCACCACCTCCCTAGATAACCCATTCCAGTGCTTCACCACCTTCCTAGTGAAATAGTGTTTCCTGATAGCCAACCTAGATCTCCCCCACTGCAACTTGAGACCATTGCTTCTTGTTCTGTCATCTGCCACCACTAAGAACAGCCTAGCTCCATCCTCTTTGGAACCCCCCTTCAGGTAGTTGAAGGCTGCTATCAAATCCTCCCGACTCTTCTCTTCTGCAGACTAAATAACCCCAGTTCCCTCAGCTTCTCCTGATCAGTCATGTGTTCCAGTCCCCTAATCATTTTTGTTTCCCTCCGCTGGACTCTCTCCAATTTGTCCACATCCCTTCTGTAGTGGGGGGACCAAATCTGGACGCAATACTCCAGGTGAGGCCTCACCAGTGCCAAATAGAGGGGAATAATCACTTCCCTCGATCTGCTGGTAATGCTCCTATGAATACAGCCCAATATGCTGTTGGTCTTCTCGGCAACAAGGGCACACTGCTGACTCATATCCAGCTTCTCGTCCACTGTAATCCCCAGGTCATAGAATCATAGAATATCAGGGTTGGAAGGGACCCCAGAAGGTCATCTAGTCCAACCCCCTGCTCAAAGCAGGACCAATTCCCAGTTAAATCATCCCAGCCAGGGCTTTGTCAAGCCTGACCTTAAAAACCTCTAAGGAAGGAGATTCTACCACCTCCCTAGGTAACGCATTCCAGTGTTTCACCACCCTCTTAGTGAAAAAGTTTTTCCTAATATCCAATCTAAACCTCCCCCACTGCAACTTGAGACCATTACTCCTCGTTCTGTCATCTGCTACCATTGAGAACAGTCTAGAGCCATCCTCTTTGGAACCCCCTTTCAGGTAGTTGAAAGCAGCTATCAAATCCCCCTCATTCTTCTCTTCTGCAGGCTAAACAATCCCAGCTCCCTCAGCCTCTCCTCATAACTCATGTGTTCCAGTCCCCTAATCATTTTTGTTGCCCTTCGCTGGACTCTCTCCAATTTATCCACATCCTTCTTGAAGTGTGGGGCCCAAAACTGGACACAGTACTCCAGATGAGGCCTCACCAATGTCGAATAGAGGGGAACGATCACGTCCCTCGATCTGCTCGCTATGCCCCTACTTATACATCCCAAAATGCCATTGGCCTTCTTGGCAACAAGGGCACACTGCTGACTCATATCCAGCTTCTCGTCCACTGTCACCCCTAGGTCCTTTTCCGCAGAACTGCTGCCTAGCCATTCGGTCCCTAGTCTGTAGCTGTGCATTGGGTTCTTCCGTCCTAAGTGCAGGACCCTGCACTTATCCTTATTGAACCTCATCAGATTTCTTTTGGCCCAATCCTCCAATTTGTCTAGGTCTTTCTGTATCCTATCCCTCCCCTCCAGCGTATCTACCACTCCTCCCAGTTTAGTATCATCCGCAAATTTGCTGAGAGTGCAATCCACACCATCCTCCAGATCATTTATGAAGATATTGAACAAAACCGGCTCCAGGACCGACCCTTGGGGTACTCCACTTGATACCGGCTGCCAACTAGATATGGAGCCATTGATCACTACCCATTGAGCCCGACAATCTAGCCAGCTTTCTACCCACCTTGTAGTGCATTCATCCAGCCCATACTTCCTTAACTTGCTGACAAGAATACTGTGGGAGACCGTGTCAAAAGCTTTGCTAAAGTCAAGAAACAGCTTTTCTGCAGAACTGCTGCTTAGCCAGTTAGTCCCCAGCCTGTAGCACTACATGAGATTCTTCCTTCCTAAGTGCAGGCCTCTGCACTTGTCCTTGTTGAACCTCATCAGATTTCTTATGGCCCAACCCTCCAATTTGTCTAGGTCACTCTGGACCATATCCCTACCCTCCAGCGTACCTACCTCTCCCTCCATTTTAGTGTCATCTGCAAACTTGCTGAGGGTGTAATGAATCCCATCATCCAGATCATTAATAAAGATGTTGAACAAAACCGGCCCCAGGACCGACCCCTGGAGCACTCTGCTTGATACCGGCTGCCAACTAGACATCAAGCCTACTAACAATCGCTAGGTGTTGAGTCCGACAATCTAGCCAGCTTTCTATCCACTTTATAGCCCATTCATCCAATCCATACTTCTTTAACTTGCTGGCAAGAATACTGTGGGAGACCGTATCAAAAGCTTTGCTAAAGTCAAGATATATCACATCTACTGCTTTCCCCATATCCACAGAGCCAGTTATCTCATCACAGAAGGCAATCAGGTTGGTCAGGCATGACTTGCCCTTGGTGAATCCATGTTGACTGTTCCTGATCACCTTCCTCTCCTCCAACTCCAAGTTCTTCAAAATGGATTCCTTGAGGACCTGCTCCATGATTTTGCTGGGGACTGAAGTGAGGCTGACCGGTCTGTAGTTCCCTGGGTTCTCTTTCTTCCCTTTTTTAAATATGGGCACTATATTTGCCTTTTTCCAATCGTCCAGGACCTCCCCCGATTGCCACGAATTTTCAAAGAAAATGACTAATGGCTCTGCAATTACATCAGCCAACTCCCTCAGCACCCTTGGATGCATTAGATCTGGACCCATGGACTTGTGCATGTCCAGCTTTTCTAAATAGTCCTTAACTTGTTCTTTCATCCCTGAGGGCTGCTCACCTCCTCCCCATACAGTGTTGCCCAGTGCAGCAGTCTGGGAGCTGTCCTTGTCTGTGAAGACTGAGGCAAAAAAAGCATTGAGTACTTCAGCTTTTTCCACATCATCTGCACAAGGCTAGGACACATACCCAATGCACTAAACAGAAATTGTTCTGCACTATTAGAAATATTTATCTGCTAGAAGAAATACTAAGCAGAAGATTCTTTTGAACTTCTCTGGTGGTTCCTCAGACCAAAGCTAAAAATTCCATAATAGAGAAGGTAATCCCAATCTCTCTCGGCCAATGTTCTCTTTCTTGCATTCCTCAGGGTTCTGCAAGAGCTATTGCGGAGCACATAATGGCTGCTCCAGTTCCCTACAGACACCGCAATATGTGTCTCTAACACATTACTTTCTAAAACTACTTCATTGTCTGGATTATGAAAAATACTATAAATGTTATTCTATTCACTTTACTGTTGCCAAATGTCAGGATTTCCTGATATAAAATATGCTGCTGGCTGTGGTACACAAGGAACAGAACATACCAGTAGATTAATGCAATATAAAACAGTATTAGACAGATATTGGAGGTATGTTGTTCACAAAATGATTTATTAAAGCAAAGATTCTGATTGATACAGCAAAGGTTCAGAATTATGGACTTTAGGAGAACTTACAATAACTGTATTAGGACTAGTTTACCATACTATCCTCATTTTATCAAATTATAATGTCTTCTAGAACAGTGGCCCAAAATTGTGGGGCATGTCCCCCAGGGAGAGCATGGAGGAGCATTCAGGGGGGCGCATGGTGGCACCCAGACCAGCCCCAAAAGGGGCAGGGAGGGAGCACTACCCAGCCCCTCTGCCTCCGCCCAGCTCTACCCCTAGCTGCAGCTTCACTTCACCCCTGCTCTGCCCCCAGCCCAGCTCCGTCCCCAGATGCAGCTTCACTCCGTCCCCAGATGCAGCTTCACTCCGTCCCCTGCTCCGCACCCCGCCCAGCTCCAACCACAGCCACACCTCCACTCTACCTCCACTCTGCCCCCTGCTCAGCCCAGCTCCATCCCCAGCCGCAGCTCCACTCCGTCCCCTGTTCATTTCCAGCCCAGCTCTGCTCTCATTCCCTCTCCACTCCCAGGCCAGTTCTGCCTCTTGTCCCAGCTCCTTTCCCATCCCCAGTTCTGCCCTCAGGTTCACCTTTAGCCCCAACTCCTCTGCTGAGCCAATTGTGCAGTATGAGGGGAGGTATGGACAGATTGCATTACTGGGGTAGAGGGAGGGGATGCAACAGGAAAACTATAGGAGAAGCTGGTGAATTGTCATTGTTTTTGAAGATTTTTTCAAAATACTTCAGAATTTCCTGTATTCCTTCCCCACCCCTCTATATCCCCATTACCTCTAACTCCTTTCCTCCTTCTCTTCACTTTCCTACTCTTCTTTCTCTAGCCCACCTCTCCTCCATACTCCTTTTTCCTCTACTTTATTTCTTTCTCCTCCTTTCGACTATCTTTGATCAGATTAGCTAGCACTTCCAAAGTAAAGGTGGGGAGGGCGTCAAAAGAAAGCGACTGAACTGTTAGGAGGTTGTTTTGTTTGAAAAGCACTGGTATTGATCGATTAGGATACAAGTGTTACAAACTGATCTATTTTACATACTATAGGAGCATTATGGGTAACAGTTTTTCAACTAACATTTTCCAGGTTTTAAACTAACTTTTTGCAGATTTTGCCATGGCCTCAGTATCAAAATAAATATGGACCTTGATTTGACTGCTTTTAATTAATTAATTTTACTGTGGCAGCACACAGGCATTGAACCTACATCCCAGGGTATTACCTTAAATACTTTGCCATCTTTCTTCTCAATTACTACTCTATTACTCTAACTACTATATTATACTTCATCTGAAATAATATGGGGAATTAGGAATAGTACAAAAACATACACTTGCCTTTCAAAGCGCTCTGTCCCCAACTGCCTTTTGGTGATATCTAGCTCAGACTCTAGCTGAGTTGTTGTATTTCTGAGCTGGGCAAAATCTCGACTCTGGATAGCACTGTAAAGTACATTAAATTGTCATTTGATTCAGAAAAAAGGGGCAATTATAACCTTCCAAATATATCAATATACACAGCTGATTAGTTAGCAAGGGCAGCATTAGAGTGCAGTTCACATAAACAGTTTTAAAAAGGAGTTAAATAAAAATCTAAAGGGGAAACATTATATGGTACAGCTGCTGAATCAAAAGCAGGTATCAACTCTTGGACTTCTTCCATTTTTAAAAAGTTATTCAGGTACTCTAATTGCTCAGAAATGCAGGTAAATAACCAATATATGTATATACATCCAGAAGAGAGACAAAAATCACTTCTGCTCAGATAATCAAATAGTTTTATCTCTTGGTTATTTACTCACAGTTTATTCTCAGCCAGAGAAAGCTGCTCTTTAAGAAGCTGAATTTCAGATTCCTTTTCTTGTTTGGCTATCTGAGACTGAAATTCTTTCTCTCGGTTGGACACCAGCAAAGATTCCAGGTTTTTCATAGAGATTCTTTCATTAGCTAGTTGTTTCCTCAGGAGTTCTACTTCAGAACGAGAAGACTCCCATTCATTCTGCAGCTGAAAGACATAGATTTACAGGTTTTCCATTTATACCTATTTAGCCTATTGACCATTCTTTAATATACTGTATTAATTTAAGATTTCAGGATGGCTGTTGAAACCTAAATCATCTTTCCGGGTCTCAGATGCCCAACTTTCTACTACCCAGCAGTCAAAACCTCCAGTTCCCTCTCCCCTCAATAACTTTCACAATGCAGTTCTATATAGGTCAATACAAAAATCTGCACCACTCTGAAAACTGAAAGTTTGGAAGCAGCATGAAGTTAATATGAAATCAGTGGTATAAGGCATACTGTAATATGAGGAATACTGTAACAGTATTATTCATAATCACTTTAATTCATAAAAATTTCCAATTTTGAATATACTTCATGCTGCCATAGAATTTCCAGTTTGTTGCTGATTTTTGCAATGGAATGCTGTAGAAAGTAGAGGCCTGTTTGGCAGAGTACACATAGCTTTGGGTAAAGCGTACGTTAAACGGGTGCAAAGCTAGAGACAGTTTCCCAACTTCTGTCCTTCCTCCAAAAACTCTTCCCAGAATCTAATATACATTCAAGTTGCTTCATTCTTTTCTGCAACTTTTCTCCCTCTCCACAATCACTAACAGCTCTCCTACTTGATGAGCTCATGGAAGGATCCAGCAAGTCTGGTAATCTCACATTACATCTCAGACAGCTTCAGTCAGACCTCATAGAGAGAGGGTAGTCAATAGGCAGACCACGGGCCTAATCCGTAGAGTCCTGCAAATCCGCAGCTATTCGCATTATATCCGTAGACCATTTTTGCGGATCACGGATTGGATGCATATACAAATTTTGTATCTGCATAGGGCTCTACTAATCTAGACTGCCAGATGCTTTTGAACAGACCCCAAAATCTTTTTATTTACTTATCATAATTTTTTTAAATTATTATTATTTTCTCTGAAGTCTGGGCCTTGACCAAGAAATTTGGATCTTGACAAAAAATAATTGACTACCCCGTCATACAGTATAAGGCTTCCCCTGCACATATCTGAGTGTCCACTTTGTTCTTTTGCTGGGGGCCTGAAGGACATTCACCAGCTCACTGCTGCGGCAATGTGCTGGCTATCAAACTTAGATATACATTTGTAGTTGTTGCTACCTACCCAAGCCATACAAAAGAAGACGAAGGTGGTGGCTTCTCCTATCGGAAGCATCTCAGAATGTATTGCACGCTTATGATATGAAAAGCCTGCAGAACATGCAAGATTTGACTAGAACAATTGACCTATAGCCCAGCAAAGAGACTACCAGACCTCACAATGTTATCTTCAAAGGTAGCGGGTCTGTTATGGAGGAGAAAAAAAGATAAAGGAGAATGCTGGAAGTCAGGGAAGAAAAAGAGGAATGATCTAGTGGTGTTGGGAGGAGGGACAAAAACAAAAATAAAGAAAGGCTGAGACAGGGAATGACACAGAGGAGGCATTATACTGAAAATATTTGAGTAGTATGACTAAGCGTCCATATTCTTCAGTTTATCCAGACTGAAGCTTTTGAAGTTTGTCTATCACCAACTTTAACTTCACAATGCTTGTGAAAATCAGGGCCAACAAAAACATACTGTAATTATCAAGCATACTAAATAACCTTATGGACAAGACAGCCTATACTGTACATCCTACAAGAGTCAAGTTTGGGCATCTCAACATTCCTTCTGGGAAACTTCTTTGTTAGCAGCCAGCTACTCCAAAGGAAGATGACACCAGGTGTATGGATTTAAAATCCAAGGCTCACACTGTCAAAAGTGACGAGTGATTTTAGCTGCCTCAATTACCAAGCTGTTCAATTTAAGACACCTCAAAGGGGCCTGATTTTCAGAGTATCTTCCCTCTTCAATGTCATCACCAGTTCCTTCTGAAAATTTAGACCCAAGGCACCAAAAAAAAATTCTCTCTTATAAACTGAAATGTAATTTTCACATGTAAACTATTCTTCCAGTACATATTATTTTACATACCCTTTCTACTTCTTGTGCTGTAGAGTTTAGCTGCCGATTTAGTAGCTCTTTGCTAGAGTCTAATTTAATACAAAGCTCTTGTGTAGATGTGAGATCTGCAAGTACAGAGACTTTCTCCAGCTGCACATTCTGAAGCTCCTCTTCCATTTTCATAAGAGACTTGTTTATGGTAGAAATCTGTGACTTGTAGGCTTTTTCTGTTGTTAAGTGCTGCCAAAATGAATGGTCTAAGTTAAGTAACAATTTGTACTGAAAATTATTTAACATTATCCAAAAACCTGATCTTATTAGAAAACAATCCATACTGTTTTTGAGAAACTTCCCATGGAAAATGAAAAAAACCCTGCACATTCTTTTGTAAAATGTCAGAACTTCTGAAAGATTCTAGAGTAAGTTTTAAAATAAACTTTTCACACCCCTTGTATCAAATAATTTTTAAAAAATCTTGTTTCTGATCATAAAGTTGTCACTGACGTTTTGGAATCCCTGTTTGGGATTTTGCAGTGCCTGTGGAGCAGATATCTTCAAAATTCTGCTTTCAGCCCTACATTCATTTTCATAAGAGAATCACTTATCTGAACAATAAAATAAATCCCATCTTTCTATGTATAGAAAACAGATTGAAAAGGAAAAAAAAGATCAATGAGTAGTTAGATATTGTGAGTAATACTTACACTGCTGTCACTCCTATGGAAGTGACCAAAAAAAATCACGCCAAAGAAACATTCCCAAGATGACAGCCACAGGTCTTCTCACTAACATCCTTGCTTAGGGCGAGCACATCCTGGTATGTCCATGGGCACCGTGTGAACCCCAGCCCTGCCCCTTCCACCCCCACCAGAGCCCAGAGTGCTCCCTACCCCCAGTGCGGCCAATGCCCCAGTCCTGCCCCAGGCTAGCCCCCTAGCCCTGGAGTGCCGGGAAGGCGGGCGGTGTGTGGCCCCAGACTCCCCAACTCCGGAGTGCTGGGAAGGCGGGTGGCATGCAGCTGCAGTCCCCCCAGCTTCAGAATGCAGGAGGGTGGGCAGTGGCTGCAGTCCCCCCAGGCCTGGAACACCGGGAAGGCATGAGGCCACAGGCTCCCCAGCTCGGGAGGACAGGCAGCCCCAGCCCCTCAGCCCCAGAGCGTGGGAGGGCAGGCGGCGCGCCATCACAGCCTCCCCAGCTGGAGCACTGCGGGGCTGGAGCAGGACTGGAGCGGCTACACACAGGGAGCAGGGGGGTGGGGTCACGCCTGGCTGTTTGGGGAGGCACAGCCTCCCCCAGCCTATGCGAACTGTCACCCATGGTATGTCCCAATCTGAGGAGGCAGTGCCAGTGTCCTGGCCAGTTCTAGTGGAACTGGGGTTTTGTCCCAGTTTTCCTGGATCACCCAAACATTTCGTCCCACATTGTTAAAGGTCTATAGATGTTGCTACACTCAGCATTGCAACTCCTAACTGATTCAGGAGCCTAAATCTCATTTTCAAATGGGAATTAGGCACTTAGGAATCTAAATTCTGTCAACAGCCTCCTAAATCCGTGGCTAACAGTATTCCAACCCATGCTACTATAAGATACAATTTTATGAAGAATCCTGGACCGTATTGTGTCTTTTATCCCACCTGTCTTTGAAGTAGGTATTATACCAAATCTTTAAACAACTGCAGAGTTAAGATATTGCCAGACATTGTTTAGGTTAGGGGGATTTAATAAGATACTATGCCACCTTACTTGCTCAATCTCTGTTTCAAGGGACTCCATTCTTTCTTTCAGCCTACGGCTCTCAGACTCTGTGTTGAGGAGCATCACTCTGACAGAGCTGCAATCTCCCTCCGCTTGGTGGAATTTTGTTTCCCAGCTTTCTGCCTGTTCACTGGCTCTGTGGTAGCTCTCCGAAAGTTCACGGTTCTGTCTCTCCTAAAATACAGCATCTGATTTTTTTTAAACTGATCTTCTGCATTAAGTGGGACAAAATAAATATAAGAAGCATAGTATCTAAAGGGATGACACAAAGAGTCTGCCCTTTCAGCCAAGACATCAAATAAAAGGTTTCGCAAGAGGCAGAATGTTTTGTATCTGCTTACATTTATCTACTAGCCACATTTTTAAGTTAAATGATAAAAATGAATTTCTTCAATACGGTGATATGCCCCATTCATGTTTTAAATTAAAACTTCCTGAACAGACACAAATGATTGGAATAATTTCCCTATTCCTGCAGATAAATGATTTTCAACTCTGTATACTAAATCCTAGAAATACAATTAAATTACAAGTTCTAACATTTATAGAATATTATTGGAATAGTTCATAGTGAGAAAAAAATGTGGTGAATTGTTACCACTTCATAGACTAATGCCAGCATTATCACTAATGGGAGTTGTGTGGCCCATTCTGTTGTGTACAGCACTCCCCAAAACGACGGAGGCAAAGAATACCATGGGAAGCAAACAGGTGATTGAGTTCAAGCATTCACAAAAGTCCCTGGACAGTGACATTTCAGTCACTATTGATCCAATCTGGTATTAAACCAATGACCTGGAGATACAAGACACCCAGTCCCTGCATCATGTAGTATCCCATCTTATGAACGTCAAAAAAAACGAACAAACCAAAAAAACAGTTAAGTACACTTCTTGCCTAGTGCTTAAGAAGTAAAACTGCAACTCAGCTTTTGTTACCTGTGTAGCTTTTTCTATCTGTCTCACCTACATGCAAACACTTACTATAGAATTCAATGTGCTCTTCAATCTGGCAATATCTGAGCTTGAATCCTGCCCTTTCAACTTCATATCATCAAGCTCATTCTGACACTTTGCAAGTTTTTGGTGTAGAATCTGTGAAGAAAGATATAGTTTTTCCACAAGGTTAACACTCTTTATGCCTTTAGTTTCTTATTCCATTTTACTAGCAGGTAAATAGTGAATATTGCTTTGATGCATAGTTTTTTATGGTTAAAAGTTGCAAAAAAAAAATTAAACTCAAACATTTCAGCTGTGCAAACACATCAGAAAATATTAACATGATGATTACACTTTTAGTTAATCTTCACAGATTAACTTTTATAAAAAGTTTAAGAGGACATTTGAATCTGTTATAAAACACAACATTCTGCAAAAACGTAGTTGGCTAATGTAAGACAAAAACAATGATTTATAAAAAGGTGCGGAGGTAATTGGTACTAAAGTTCTTCAGCAAAAAGGTAGGGGAGAAGAGGTCAGCTCTTTGATAGGATTTTACAAGGTTCTGATTTATTTGTGAGACACAGTCCAGGATAAAACTGTTCCATAGGGCAAGAGCAAAATTATTAAAGCTACAAAGCACTTCCTGTTGGTCCAATGAAAGTTGGCCAATTATAAGATGCTGGCTTTCTTCCTTACTTCCAACTGCTTCCACAGGCATCCTGACTCATCACTGCAAAGAAAAACCTGGAGCCCTGTAAAAGTAACTAGAAACAAAACGGAACAGCAAGCTTTGCTGTCTCTGTCAGTTGGTCTACACACAGAAATTACACGAATTAACAACACTAATAACACAGCCATTTAAGAATGTCCACAGAAGGATGGGTTGCACTAATTTAACAAAATCAATTCAGAAATATATTTAATCAATGCAATTTCTGAGGGCAGATTAGGCCTATGTTAAACCACTGCTACTTAAGAGAAGAAGAAACAGGAGCCTCCTTCAGCTCCTATCTATCAAAGCTATCTAGCACAAGCAAAAATAACTTTGCAGTGAAGGGGAAGAGAAAAACACTGAATGCTGGAGATGTGCTCTCAGCCATGGAGGAAATGGAGTTCCAGAGATTCATAGCCCCTCTAAAGAAATCATTGGAAGTTTACAGGCGTGAGCAAAAAGGCAAGAAAGAAGCAAGGAAAGACAAAGACAAGAAGGCAGACTCTGAGGAACAAGACAAGAGCAGGGAGGAGGAGAATGATGATGATGATGAACGGATGGAGGAGAAGGAACAAAATGATGATGAAGAGGAGGATAACTGAGCTTCCTAGAGAGACAGACATGCACACAGATTGGGCTCTCTTCCTAGGGATATAAATACTGTAAATAAAAAGAAAGAATGTCAACAAGAGAAAAGAATAAAACATTCAAGACATCAGATGGAGAAGACCACCAGGTGACTGGGCAACATGCCCAGAAGAGTGAACCAAGTTACAGGAAAGCATCTGCAGAGCAAAGAGGACAAACAGGCAACAGGGGAGAAGACGACCAGACATGAGGGAAGCATGTGCAAGAGAGAAGAGGAGCAAAAGGAACAGAACACTTGGGAGGGAAAAAAAGAATGAAAGATGACAGTGTAATACTTACTTTTAAAAGGACAAAACATTTGTCACCTTAAAGACAACTAAAATACTAAATACTTTCTTAATATTACTTTTCTATGTAAGCAACTGGTGTAGTGGCTCCTCAAGATACCTCTCTGTGATCCACCCTATGAAAAAATTTGAGAATCCCTGACCTAGAAACTTATTTCACACCATTTGCAGATGAGATGTAGGAGAAAACAGGACATGACAGGACAGAGATGAGATTAGAAACCAGTCAGATGATCTGAGTTTAGTTCTTTTGCATATAATAGCACATAAATTACATGCAACACTTTGGGAAATATGCAATTTTACCTTTCAGCCTAGGTTTTTGTACCTAGATATACCTGATTTTCCTTCTTAACTCTATGAAGTTGCTCCTGCAACTTGTCATTCTCCTGAGCTAATGATTCTCTGTCCCTGCCAGTCTGAGCAAGTTCATCATTGGTTTCATCCAGTTGTTGATGCAATCTGGTGATATCCTCCTTACAGATGCATAGAGCTTCAGTAGACTGTCTATGCAGCAAATAAGACAGAATGTAATAAGCATTTCAATATAACAACAATAATTAACCTAACAAAAGACATATTTCCAAGGAGTCAAAGAGTTTACAAATAAACATTAAACAAAAAAACAGTTATAAAATAGAAAGTCACTTTTAATAAGATAATAAACTACAAATAATTTATTTGTTAACACATTTAGATTTCAGTGGCTAGTGGGATACAGCTGGGCCAGAGAGCAGCAGGAGAGTGATTTTTTTTTTTAAGTAGCTCCACATCCCACAGGAGAGTGATCTTATTGAGTGCTGGGAAGTGGGCGGGCACAAGCCTGCCCACTGCTAAAGGCCTCTCCCGCAGCCAGTACTCAACTAAATACAAAGGACAACGAAAAAACAGAATAGGAACAGGTGTGGAGGTCAAAGGGCCAAAACTAGGGAACCAGAAGGGGACACTGAGCAGAGAACCCCGGACAGTGCCCGCTGCTCCTCAAAAGCATCCAAGGAGCCACCCAGAGGAACTCTGCCTGGATGTGTGAATGGATAAAGGAACGAAAACAGGCCCCACAGTTGCAGAGCCCCCCCTCAGCCAACCTACTCTCCCATGTGTATTCAATGAACACCTTGGCTACAGCTAGGAGGAGGTTGACAAGGAGGTCCCTCGACTTCATGAGACCATGGATGGGGTGTGCATAAATAAACAGGTGCAGGGAAAAGTGCAGCCAGAACCTCAACAAGAGATTCTGGAGGAGCTGGAAGAGGGGCTGCAACCTGGCGCACTGCAAATAGACATGCGCCAGGGTCTCCCTCACACCGCAAAAAGGGCAGGCGCCAGGAACAGGGGTGACCACGCTAGGTACATGCCCATGGCTCCATGAAGGAGCCACCAGCTAATGTCCCCAGCGGGCCATGGAACCAAGATGGAATACAGGATGGCCCACCAGGGTCCCTCAGCCTCTACAGCTGGTAGAAGGTCCAGCCACTTGGTGTCAGGGTGGGACATGAGCATAGGGAAGTGAAAAGTGTGGAGCACGAGCATGTAAATATGGTACCGTGGCGCGGTTCGGAGGCAATCCGGCTGGAAATCACGCAGCCGGCTCGGGGTACAAAGGAGTGGGGGCTGAGAGGGCTCACATGGCAGGGGCCTGATGAAGAGATCCGGAGGGCCTGGGGTGAGGGGCAGGCAGGGGATACCCTCTCATAGGACTCACTGAAGGAAAGACCGAGAAGTGGGCAATAAGGCTGCCTCCATCTCCCAAAATATGCACCGGGGGAACCAAGGGTGGAGAACCCCACGAGCCAGCCGAGCACATAGGGATCCAACCAGTCCCCCGGTTGTAGTCTAGGAGGTCTCCGAGCCTGGTAACTTCTTCCAGGACCAACCTCTGGCGCACTGAGGGCGACTCTGCCACCTGCACATGAAGATGAAGATTGTGTAGCAGGGGTTCTACGTGGAAATCTGCCCCCCTCTGTGGCCGCCATGGACCTAGTCACTGAAACCAGCTTCCAGGTCCGGAGGAGGTCCTGGTAGAAGACCGGCAGCTCAGAGAGGTCTCACAGAAGACCTCTCGGACAGAGATAAAAAAGCTGCCGGTCATACTAGAGTCCTTGGAGGCGGCGGTGGAAGGCATGCGCCAACGTACTCCACGCCGAGCTATCTGTACCATAAAGGAGTCTCTGTAGGGCCTGGAGGCGGAAGATATGGACCTGGTGTGCCTGTGCACACCTGTCCTCCCTCCTCCAGAGGAAGATGCAGAACCCCCGCAGAGACCCAGTGCAGCCCTGGACAAAAGAACTCCAGAACCAGCTTCTGGAGCCAGACCAAGAACCCTGGGGCTGGGCAGAGAGTGTTGAGCTGGTGCCAGAGCATGGACAAGACTGACTGAGCACCAGTGCCCTCCCCCAAAGGGAGAGGCACTGGAGCAGTCCTTCCCACCTTCGTAACCATTCAACCACCCTGCCCTCCAAATCGTGCCAGTTCTCCAGCGCAGAAAATTAAAACGCCGAGATAGAGCAGTGGAGCTGCGCCCCACTGAATGGCCTGAAGTGTGGGTGGGAGGGAGCTCGCCTGCCACCCGGCTCCGACCATCAGGCCAGAGCTCTTGACCCAGTTGATCTGGGCAGAGGAGGCCGCCGAGTACACAGCTTGGCAGCCCTCCACCCACACCAGGTCTCCCGGATTCTGGACCACGAGGAGCACGTCATTGGCATACGCTCACAGGACCAGCCGCATCTCTGGCTCACAGAGCACCATCCCCGCCAACCTCTTTCAGAGGAGATGGAGGAAGGGCTCAATCTCCAGAGCATACAGCTGGCCTGACAGCAGGCAGCCTGGACGCACTCCTCACCCAAAGTGGATGGGTTCGGTCAGGTTGAGCCTGACCAAACACTTCACGGAGGTGTACAGCACCTGGAGAAAACACACAAATCGGGGCCTGAAGCTGAACGCCTGCAGAGTGCCCAGGAGATACCCATGGTCCATCTGATCAAACACCTTCTCCTGATCCAAAGACAGGAGGATGAACAACAGACCATCCCTACACCCAAGCTCAAGGAGATCCCGGGACAGTGTAGGTCTGGTCAGGATGGACCACATCTACCAGCACAGACCCCAGTCGTAGCGAGATGGCCTTTGCCACAACCTTATAGTCCGTGCTGAGGAGCGAGATGGGATGCCAATTCCTAAAGTTGCGGAGGTCCCCCCTCTTTGGAAGCAAGGTTAGCATGGCTCACCTGCACGACAGAGAGGGGAAACCCACTCCCCAAGGGCTCAGCCCAGTCAATGACAAGGTCCAGGCCAAGGATGTCCCAGAACAATCAGTAGAACTCCACGGTGAGCCTGTCCATGCCCGGAGATTTATTGGTGGGCATGAGATGGAGGGCTTCCCAGAACTCAACCAGAGTGAGAGGCAGCTCCAGCCAGTTGTCGGACTGGCTGTCAGGAGGTCATTGCAAAGCACCCTGCAGTCATTGGAGTCGGTTGGATCCACGGAGAAGAGGCTGGCGTAGAAGGCCCTGGCCCTCTCACGCATCTCCACTGGATCCATGAAGGGGGCGCTGTCCTCCGCCAAGAGGCGGATGACGTGCTTTTTCGCCCCCCTCTTTTTCTCCAGGGCGTAGAAGAAGCAGGAGATGGATGCAGAATCAAACAAAAGCACCGCAGGACTGACACAGGAGAGTGATAGATGGGAAGTATATAAACCCCAGGATGATCAGAGCCTTATTCCCTGTGGACTGAGGAGAGATTACTACAGGTTAATTAGAGCACCTGGAACCAATTAAGGCCCTGCCAAAGACCTAATAAAAACCCCTGCTTCAGTCAGGTGAGAGATGGGAAGGAGAGCTGACTCTAGTTTGAATTAATACTGTTGTTAACCAGAGGATCAGAGCACCAGGGGAAGGGAAACCTTGCTCAAGCAGAGCAGAGGGACTCCCCAGTCACAAAGAACCGAGAGAAATCCTGCCCAAGGGGAGAGAGGTCAGGAAGCCCGAGAAGCTGAGGGGGTAGTGTGGGAGCTAGCCCAGGGGAAAGAATCACAGCTTCAAGTGCTTAGTCACTGTCCATAGGGCCCCTGGGCTGGAACCTCAAGTAGAGGGTGGGTCCAGGTCCCTTCCCTGCTCCCTTTCCCTCTCCCACCAGGACACTAGCAGAACCATCAACACCCAAGAATAGGGGCAAGAGGCAGCACCCTGACCCAACACATGAAGGAAAAGCGCAGGACCCACCATAATAGTATCGGCCATTTGCCACATGTGGTGTTAGGAGTGGGATTCCGTGCTGTGGACTTAATCCAGGGTAAGCCAAAACCATCCCAGCTCCAAGATGGATGATGTGGTCAAAGCACCACTGTAAGCCACAGCGGCCCAGTAGGAGGCTACCTGGGTCCAGGCAGCTGCCCAACAGGAGGCAGTACGCCTGCAGCAGGAGACCAATCATCTGCTGATGAGCCAGGCTGCCCAGGACTAGGCCATGCTGCAGGAAGTGGCGAACCAGATGAAGAGCTGAGCTGAGCTGCAGCTGCGACGAGACACGGTCTGTATAAGCCAGCAACTGCCTGCAGAAAATGATGCGGGAGGATGATGTGGAGGTGTACCTCCTGACCTTCGAGAGGGCAGCCCTGTGAGAAGCCTGGCCCTGAGATCAGTGGTCTGGCATCCTGGGCCGGTTCCTGTGTCAGGAGGCCCAGAAGACCTACTACGATATAGCCGCGGAGGCTGCAGCAGACTACCCCAGTTGAAAGCAGAGATCCTGGCCAGCTCTGAAGTAATGACGGCGTTGCGAGCCCAGAGGTTCCATATAGTGAGGACAAGGCACCATGGTTGCAACTGTTTGACCTAATCCACCTGACCTGGAAGTGGCTGTGCCCTGAGGCCCTTAGCTCTGAGAAAATGAGGAGCTTCTGCTGCTGGACCAGTATACGAAGGGGCCACAATCAGGCCTCCAAGCCAGAGTTGGCCACAATGACCCTTCCACCTATAACGAGTTGGCCACCCTTGTAGAGAGACAACTGGCAGCCTGTGAATTGTTCCAGATTCCAGGGGAACCATAACTGGAAGGAAGCTGAGGAGCAGCCTGAGGCCCTGAAGGGACCGAGCTGGGGGAGCAGGCCAAATAGCCCAAGGCAGAGGGTGACAACCGGGGTAAGGTATCAGTGTTACTTGTGTGGGGAATTGGGGCACATAGCAGCCCAGTGCTCCAACAGGGAGGAGCCCATGCAGTGCAATCTGGGGGAACATGGGAAGCGATGTAGCCTAAAGCGGCCTGATGGGGGTTGCAGTGACCCCACGTGGGTACACAACGTCGGTAAAAATGAATGGCATAGCTTTGGTGGATTCTGGAAGTGCTGTCATGCTGGTCTCGGGGAAGTTAGTGGGGCAAGACACAGGAGTAACATGTGTCCACGGCATGGTAAATTTCTACCCCATGATCCCAGTGCAGATTGAGTTCCAGGGGAACACTACCAAGGTGACTGCAGGGATGGTCCCCAGACTCCCCTACCCTGCCTTAATCGGTAG